ATGGTAAGTGCAATGCAAGCTCTATATATGCAATTAGATGTATTAGCTAACTTGTTATTCTTTCATTAGTCACGGAAGGAAAATTTTTAGGCGGATAAAAATATCGTTTACTTGCCTAGGAGCGGGGTTGATTTTCACTCTGCAATGGTGGCAATTAATGTCCAAGATTCCTATGTAATCAGTGGGTTCATGACAGTTGGAGCATGTGAAATACCAGAAAGGAGCTTTTTGATAGTTAATTTCAACTCGACCTTCAATACATGCTGTTCGTTTCTGTCATTTAGAGTATGTTAGAGGTCGAGGTAGAAGTAATAAATTATCACTCTTGTTATTGAAAGGTTAAGTTATGAATGTCTTACAAATCTTACGGCCTGAACAGCTCTGTTTATGGGACTGATTTCATTTGTACTGACTGGGGGTAGAATAACTCTTGGATCAGCATAAGCCTCATTATGAATCATTTGTGTGATCAGCGATATGTTGTTGTGAAACCTTGATTTGTTCTTTGGAATGTTAGAATTAAATCTTTAATTTTAGGAATAAATATTTGGTGTGGGAGTGTTTACCAGTGATTAAGCTCCATTGTTTCTCTTAGAGCAGGTTCAATCATTATGACAGATGAAACTTGCACAGCCAGTGAAAGATCTGCACATTGTGTTTGAACAAAAATCAGTTCTAATAAGATTATTCTTGTATGAAAAATCAGCTTTAGTATTATATCTTTTTCAGTGAAAAAATGCATAATAATGTGGGATGTTCAGGCTTTACAGTTTGTGGTAGTTGCTCTGAGCCTCATGGCCAAGATGACTGATGGCTCTTCTCTTGCTGTGATTTGTATACCTTCATTTGTCTGGAAGTCATTGTAAAGTGTTAAGATGACTGGTTTTTCCCTGAGTATACTGTAAGATCAGTGTCAATAGGCAATTTTTTTCATTTTGAGTTTGAATATGGTAAAGAACTTACTCTTGATTGATGATTACATAATCTCTTGCAGGAATTATCTGTCCTTGAATTGTTATCTGTCTCATTGGACGTGCAAAAACAACAATCCCAAATATGTCTGCAGTGAAAGCATTTTTAAATTTGTGTTTGGAAGGTTAGTCAGATGTTGATAGTGGTAAAAGTGGAGGAGTGTTTAACATACTCATATATTTGTTTGAGTCTGCATAAGTCTGAATGTTGGCAAATTGGTGCAAATGTAGGTATGGTAGTATTGTTTCATCCACTGCTTCATTAACTTCTTCAATTGTTGTTGTAGCTATGATTGTCCAATAGTATGGATAGTCTGTAGTTGAAGATGTTTGTTGGCTTGGAAGAACGGATGCATTTGAAACAAAATACTTTTTGAATGGTAGTAGCAATCCATCAACAAGTGGAATAGCATTGTAAACAGCGATTGTTTTTACTTGAATTCCCTATAGGATTGCAGTGAGTTTAAATAAATTACATTTACTTTATAGGTTAAAAGTATTATAGCAGTATTTGATGTTCATTGTATACCTGTGAATTGGCAAGAACGAAGTAGCAGTATCTTCTTCCAGTTGAAAATCTTCCAGCTTCTAAAACGTGAGTGGCCTCAATTACTTGGACCAATGTAGTCAATTTGTGGAGTAGCAGTCAATATCAGTTAAGGCCATTGCATTATGTGTCATTGTTTTCTGTTAAGATTTGAAGGGAAGCGAAGTTGAGAAGTGTAGTGAGAGAGCAGGCCTGATGTTTTTGATCTTGATATTACTAAGTGTTAGGATGTTGAAGGTATTTATAGGACGGTGTTCAGAGTCAAGCTGGCAGGTGTAGTGGGAGTAAAGCTGGCAGAAGATCTTAGTTTCTTCGTGTGGAAAAGATTTTGAACTGAATGAGTATGTGAATTGAAAATTGGAAATAAGATCTTTTGCTTTAGCATTTGGTTTTTTGATTTGTTTTGTCAGTCTATTGTACATAGAATATGTAAAGTTATCATTATATTCAACCAATGTTAATAATTGTGAAGTTGTCTACTGTGAAGTTGTCAGTTGATATTCAATCAGAAAGATTAGCATCTTTTGCTTGCTGACTTCATATATACTGCAATTGAGTTGGCGGCTGACAGAAATAGCAGCTTTTCAAAAATATATAGCTTACGTTTGGGAATGGTGAATTTGGTCAGTATATTGTATATATAGTAAGTAAAACTATGATTAGATTAATTGAAAACGAGGAGACATTTTTGTTGGCTAGTAAAGTTAATATGGAAAGTGAAAATTTATGAAGCAATATGAAAAGGGAATTTGTAAAGCAAGGAGAAATATTGAAGCGATATCGTCAGTGTAGTCAAGTAGAGAAAAAGTGCAGTATAATCAAATACAACTCATCAATCAATAATGTCATTGTAATCAAAGAAGCGCATAGATATAGAGTGTTCAAGACTGAAGGCTGTTATTGGAAGATTTTAATGATCTATGGCAAACAGAATGAAACGTAGCCTCAATTGGACAAAGCATTAGATATTCTGTGACGTTACAAAATGCTTAAAAGAGAACATGGCTGAGTTATTAGAACAAGATTTAAAGAATTAATCAAGCACTAAATCCAATAATTCGGACTCAAATTTTGGGTGTCTTTCTATCATGATCTCAAAAAGTGAACTGTAGTCATATGTGCTTAGTCAACATATCTGTAGAGGATAAGAGCTTTCTACAGCCAAATAAGAAAATTTGAGCTTCCAGCTGAAGCACAGCGAAAAAACACAAAGAAAGCAAACATTCAAAATCATGGGTTTACAGTCATTCAGTTTGATTTGCTCTGGAACAAGTCACTCTGTTCTACCAAAAGCATCACCATTTTCTCTATCATTTCTGGCACCTTGATGCTGAGGTCTACCGGTGTCACTTGCATTATTCTCAGATCTGCACTTTCTTTCATTTTCTCTTTCTTTTTCTTGCTTATGCTCTTTTATTTCAGTTAGCTTTTGATGATATATGGCAAAGTTCAAGACCTGAAGAGCGGCATCTACATCAGCCTTCAAAATCTACTCAAGAGCAATTAGTGGACATAATTAGTCAAGGATAAGTAATTGTGCACATGAAAAAGCATTGGTGCTGCAATAAATAGGGATGAACAGTATAACAGCGAATCAACATACTGCAACATACAGATTTATCTGGCTTCTTAACTTCAATTTTGGGGGCAGTTGACAGATGTACTATTGTTTCCAAGGTCCTGGCAGTTATTGGAAGTGTTCCAGCCTTAGTCTACGTAAAACAATTGTTATTGTTTTGATAAAATTTGAGTATGTTGATGCAAAATACTACATACATGTACATAACTAACTGTGAATTACCTAACTACCTTGGCATTTGAACTGGTACTTCGAAGCTCTGCATAATAGGCAGTTGCAATTTGATCTGATACCTGTAACATAGTAATTTGTAAAATCAGCCATGAACCAGTGACCATGTAAGAGAAGCAAATGAATGGATAACACAAAGGAAACTTAAAAGAGATGTAAACAGAAATTCTTAATACAAATTATGGGACAATGATGTGGCACTTGTAGTTCAGGATTGCATTATTAGAAAGGTAGGAATGCAACCTTATCAGTTAACTCAGGTTGAATTCTGTGTTTTGCATAATGGATGTACTTCTTCAGAAAATCAATGGTGAGGGTCTCACGTTTACGACTTGTTTTCGTCCCATATAGCATTGGGTTATACTTGACAAAGACTGTGGAATTTGCATCACCCTCATCATCCCTTTTGTATTGTGTACCTACATCTGCATCTGAAGATTTGGGTGTTTCACTTTCAGCCATCCAAGCACAAAGATGAAGTTAGCTATATTTTAGTAAAGGAGCTACTATTCTCTTATCTCTATCCATAGTGGAACAAAAACTATGCATCCGCAAGACATGTTCTGAGATATGACGGTCTATACCAGGCTCCATTTGATCCAGAACAATGAACAGTAAATCAAAAGGAGAAAGCAAAGAATTTAGGAGACCAATATTCTTTGTTGTGGTTAGCGAGCAGTGATACTGTACATAACAAGAATAATATGCAGTCAATAAATGAAAGGAATGGATATGAAAGTGAAATTTTTCAAGGAACATAGATTCTGCATCTTACTGTTCCATATATGGGATTTGCAGCTGCTACAACACTACACTGGGCATTCAAGGATGCATGAATTCCAGCTTTAGCAATTGTTACAGTTTGCTGCTGCATGACTTCATGTATAGCTACACAATCCTGGTCATTCATTTTGTCAAATTTGTCAATACAAACAACTTCTCTATCAGCAAGAACCATAGCATCAGCCTCTAGCCTTCTTTCTCCTAATGACAATGTCATCAATTTGATAAATATTCACTATAGTTACTTTATAAAGTTAATGATAGCATAAGAGTGTATTACCTGTTTCTTGATCAGAAGTAACTGCAGATGCAAGCCAACTCCTGAATAACCTTGGCTAGTGGTTGATATAGCTAAAGGTGCAATATTCATGATTGCTCTTAGCAGCTGAGACTTGCCAACAGACTGATTGGCCAATTCTCTTCTCCCAACAGACTTAGCTAAAGTTAATCACGTTTATATGACTATCAAAGAGCATTCAACCAGACTAAGGACTTAAAACTAACTGTAGTTCAATAAGTTGAGGTGTAAAGAGTTTCTCTGGGTGGTAATAAGGAAAGACATTGGACAAGCTGCTGAGTTGGGAGTAGAAAATAGAGAAAAGGAAAAGTATGAGAAGATTTACATGACCAAAAGCAGAACTCTGAACATCTAAAATTAAAGTAAATATAATGGACTCAAGTAATAACTTATCCTGACAAATGAGTACCATTTTTTAAATTGTTTTTAGTTCCACCAAGCATCAAAAGAACCAAAGACTTCTTTATTCATGTATGATCGTATATAGATGGTGCAAGAGAATCGGCAAGTAAGGCAAATATAATATATGGAGCTTACTGTAATGTGAAAGAGTAGATAGATAGAATATGATCCTTTTACTGCATCGCATCATCAAAAGCAACACTGGATTACATATGAAGAGACAATACCACATTACTTCTGTAGGTTAGTTTTTCTTCTGCGGACGTCAAAAGAAATATTATGCTTCATTATGTTTTGTAGACTAACATAATGAATCATAATATATTCACAAAATATAAGAGTCTGCGTAATCCATGATTAAAGCAGCTTAACAAAAGTAGTTTTTCAAGAAGACAAAGGAATCAGTCAATTTTCAGACCACTCTTCTTCTTTTGCTTGAACCTGTTTATGCCTGTTTGTAGCGAGAGGTTTCAAGTTCAAACGTTATGGAGCTCTGCTGTTTATTATCATCCTCTTCAATCAACATTGAAGCTTCATCAACAACTGAGGATATACTGTTTGCAGCTTTTGAAGTGAAATTAAGGCTTCTTTTGGCTGAACTCTTTGCAGGTGCGGCAGCAGTTGCAGAAGTATTTATTGCAGATTTATCTTCAATTGTTGGTGCAGGCAGTGGAGTGATCATGTCTTCTGATTCTCTGGCTTTTACCTCAATTATTGTAGGTGTCATGAGTTGGGTTTGTACATTTGGAGGGTCTTCATGATTGATGGATGTTATCATCTGTGGTAGTGCCTCAAGAGTGTACAGTTTGACAACTGCATTTTTCTTTTGCTGCTGACTCTGATATTCCACCTCAAATGATCGAACAAAGTAGACAACTGTGTGCTTGCTAATAGATTCTGCAAGCTGCATATCTAGAGCAACTCCCTGTATTATTAAACATTTTAAAAATGGACTTAGCTGTATATCAAGAACAACTGGTTATTCAAACTGAATTGTGAAATGTAAAAAGTTCTATTGGTTGTTTCATTTACGAATAGAGCTTATGTTGAGCTTACAGTTTCATACGCATCATGCAGCTGAATAGTAGTATAAGGAATCAACTTCTCAACTTCTGGAGAGTAAATGGTGCAATTCATTTTTCCAGTTTCGTCAGCCAGTTTAATGCCAATGCGACACCTGAAAAATTTCATTGTCAGCATGAGAGAAGTTCTAATAAGACTATTATAATTATGAAGCAATTTCAACTAAAGTAAATTAAAGCAAATTCACTATTATATTAGTTTGTTTTCAACATATGAGGCTTTAAAGGTAAGAGAGTAAAGCAAGGTAACAATTATTTCAGTCTGATTATGACTGACCTCATTTGAATAGAAGTCGATTCGTTACATGAAGGACATGTAATAATCCAGTCTATATCAGCATCAACATTTTTGTGACAATTAGCACAGACTGTGTGCCAACATTTTTGCTGTCCGGGAATGAAGGCTGGTTTTGCTCGTACCCAGGCTATTTTTTGCTGGAATTTTCATACAAATAAACTATGTGATTATCTCTGTCAGCAAAGATATAAACATTAGAATTTCAATTATACATGGGAAATTACTTTATCAAAGGATGCCAGAACAGTCTTAATATCTTTGATGAATTCTGGGCCTAGAAGAGGTAGCAGAAGTGATGTATCTTTGAAAGCATTTGCTTCAAGCATATTTTTGAGCTTTTGTTTGTGAGCAGCATACCTAACATAAGTAAAACATATTTAAACTTGAACATAAGTTATTTTCAAACTATGAAATGCTGAAACGATGGTGAAATGGACATAATCAAACTGTGTATTAAAAGATTTACTTATTAGTTATGAACTGGACATAATCAAAAGATTTACTTATTAGCCCTGAACTGGGTATTCTCAAACTGTGTGTCCTGGAAAATATGGCAAACAAAAAGATACTGTTCAAATTTTTTTATCATCTTTTGTCTGCATATCAAACATATTTTCTTAACAAGCAAAAAACAGAGATATTCTTGAAGATTTAATGAAGAAAATAAAGTATGTGAAATTTAGTGAACGAATGAGTGGTTTTTATTTAGAATGAGCAATGTATAAAAAGCAAGAATAGGCTGACCATTCATTCATTTGCATGTCTTCAGGAACTGGTGGATTGTTGAGGATGCAAGATGAGAGCCTTGAGGTTAAAGAAAGTGTTGTAGATTAATATATATCAGTTGGATTAATATATATCAGCAAAAGTAATATTAGTTGTTAACAACAAAGCAATTATTTTGAAATCAAAGCTTACTTTGAAGAACTTCTCTGTCTGCATACTGATGCAGGTCAGCAAATGATGTCAGTTCAAATGGACATGGTAAAGTTGGAGGAATTGTTTCATTGTATGGTTCAATGAGAGTGTCACTGTTAATGGCCCATGAAAAGGGGTAGTTGCCAATTCTGAAATTTGCTGATGTGTCCATTATTGATGCATTTGAGATGTAGTAGCGCTTGAATGGACAAAACATGTGTTGAAATAGCTTAATGCAGCTGTCATACACAAAAGCAGAGACTTTTGTTCCTTGATTTATAGTGTTAATGAAACAGTGTCAGAAAGGAATTTATGTTAACGTTAATGAGTATTTATGATTGATGTTTGATAGACCTGGGAATCAGTCAACAAGAAGCGACGAAACCTTTTGAATGGAGCAGTTCGTGCAACATGCACATTTCCCCTTTCAACAACTTGAATTAGCACAATCCAGTGGTGACTCTGTTTGTTCACTTCCAACACTTGAAGCATTTGCCTGTAATAGGAAAAAATGAAGCATATTTCAATATGTTGTTAGGAAGTTTGAAGGCAACATAATGTTAATATAAAAAAAGAATTAGCCAGCTCATAGGACAATGTTTTTACTTCTAATTAAAGCTGTAGACTATTCTAATATCTCTGTACAAATGATGTTTTTTGTATGATCTGCATTGCCAGAATCAAAGTAAGCCGGTTTGATCAAGACTTTGACAGAAGCAGTTGTTTTTGCACGTGATAAGGCAATATAGAGTTGCCCATGTGAAAAGACAGGCTCCTTCAAATAAATGCCAACAAAGTCAACTGTTTGGCCTTGAGCTTTATTAATTGTCATTGCAAAACATAGCCGAACTAGAAATTGAGTTCTCTTGTAAGGAACTGGATATTATTCATCATTTGATGGTTGTAAAGGAATTCTATGTATAAACACTTCTTTGCCAGCAAATTCACCAACTGCTATCTGTGCATGGACCACATTTTTTTGCAATGTCTTACATATCAGTCTAGTTCCATTGCATAATCCTTCTGTAGGATCAAGATTTCGTAATAAAATAATTGGTGAATTTGGTTTCAGTGTCAATTTGTGAGGAGGTAAACCACTGGGAGCTAAAGTATTAAGCAAATCAACATACTCAGCTTGATAATTTGGATTTATAGTTTCATCAAAGCTGATATATTCAACACTGTTTCCAGGGAATTTTTCAATCATTAAGTCATTAATTTCATCGACAAAGTGATTTTTTGTACTTAGTATTGCTCTATTTAAAGATGAATCTGCATTTTGAGACAGCTGATTCAGGTCTGGATATACAACACCTATCAATGGCTGTAGTGAATCAGTTTCATTATCATATTTAATTAATATTGAAGGAGGAATTTGGATACAATCCTGTATTTCTGATTTTTCTAAACCATCTCCTACTTTCAAAAGAAACTGTGTGAATGATGGATCCAGTCTTGCTCGCATGTTGTCAGTTAATTGCAATTTTTCTAGATGAGGCCACAAGTAAGAATTAATTAAACATGCATTTACTGTCTGAGATTTACTCCCATTGCATACAACAGGTAGTGTTTGCCTGAAATCTCCGCCTAAAACTACTACCTTTCCACCAAAGATATCATCTGAACTCATTAAGTCTTGCAGCAAATCGTCTAATGCCTCAATTGCTGCTCTTTTAGACATAGGGGCTTCATCCCAAATTATTAGTTTGCAGTCTTTTTATTAAAGTTGCTAGTGAACTTTGTTTGCTAATTCAACAAGTTGCACCAGGGGAAATATATATTGGTATCTTAAATCGAGAATGAGCCGTTCGGCCTCCCAGTAAAATTGAAGCTGCAATACCTGATGTAGCTGTTGCTAATGCAATAAATCCTTTTGATCGTACATCTGCTAACAATGCACGATACAAAGCACCTGTTTTGTTTGTGTACACTCTTTCAGAAATGCCTCTTTTTGCCTCGTATTTAACATTACAATTGCATTTAAGTCATCTGCTGAAATAGCTATACTATGCTCTGCTCTTAACTCTCTTGTTTCATTTTCAAAGTCTGTGAATGAAACGTTAGGAGGAACTAAATTATATGAAGAAATATCTTTTCCCATAAATTGTAAGAAGCCATTTATTTGTTCAAGAACCTTTAGTCTAACTTGGTTTGTTGTTAATGTATTTAGTCTAACATAATCTTCTGACATGACATCTTCAAATTTAAGCCATAAAGCCATTGGATCATTTGGACATGAATAAACTAATAACGTAGCAAATAAGCGCCTCATTTCATATGGCATATGAAAATGAGCAGCTTCTTGTAAGCAAAGTTGTTGGCTATCATCATGCTACAAATAACCTCTCAAAAGTGATGCCTCTCGAAAAGTTTCTACTTGTACTTTATTAATTGTTCTCAAGTCAGAAAAAGAAGTTGGACAGCGAACTTTTGTTAGTAGAAGTCTTAAATAGTACCTCTCACCTTCAGCAGGATGAGCAGTCACTATTCTTCCTATAGAGTCACCTTGCTCACGTATTTTCCACATTCTTTTGTCCGCTTTCCAAACAAAAAATTGTGGAAATTCTGAATAGGTACACTTAAGATTTTGTGCTTCTTCGTTTGTTCGGTTCTTGTTAAAAAATTCAGTAAGCATGGTTTGTCTTAAATGTGTATTCCTTACAAGGTTACGCAGATCAGTGTTTTTCTTGAAATTTAGAGGTTGCTGGTTTTCTAAGTGAAGCTGAAGATGAATAATAGCCGGTTTGATTTCACTAACAGGAAATCTAAAAATTCTCCATGTTGCCTCTAGAGGTGATATCCACCAGGTTGATATATATTGCTGGATTTCATCAATCGCTGGATTTGAACAATCAGCAATAACTCGAAAAGAAGTCCTATCATGACCTTTACAAATATATTTATAAATATATTTGACTGCCTTGATTGTTGAACATATCTCAACATTAATATGTTAATCAAATTTAGCAAGGAGATAAGGATTGTAAGGTACAACCCAATGATTGTCAAGTAATGCATTTCTTACTTTCACTTTCACACCGTTATTTCTTCTTCGATATTTTGGATATGCATATTCTGTTTGACAGGTTGAGTCACAAAAGTCTTTTGGATAAGAGTTCTTACAAGTTCCATTTTTTCTCATACGAACATTTTTTGGATTTGCTACACTGCAAGGACCATGAAGCATATGCTTGACAACCATTCTATATAGGTGCTTATTCTATTTTTTATCTGGTATCTCAGCACATACAATTTTGTCATATTCTTCAGGATTATAAAGTTTATGCTCTGATTTTAAGATAAGAAGAAAATGTGCATGGGGTAATCCTCTTTTTTGATACTCTATAACATATGTATAGGCTACTATTCGGCCAAAAATATTTTTTTTTGAAGAGTTCATTTTTCAATTGTTCTACTTTAGCATGAAAAATTCTAGAAATCAAATCTGGTCAGTTCTGTGTTTCATCTTTTGCAATTAGATAGTCTTTTATCTCTGGCCAATTAGGATTGCAGGTAATAGTCAAAAAAAGATCTGGCTTACCAAACTTTTGGACTAATGTCATTGCATCCATATACTTTCGCCTCATATTTCTAGGTCCTCCTATAAAGCTTGGTGATAAAATAACTCGCTGACCAACATTTGATCCTAGAGTTTCTCCAGATGCCACTGCATCAATTATGCCATTCAAAAATTCTTTCCTGATTTCTTCTTGCTGTGATCTAAAAAAATCAAGTCACTGTGTTTCGACTTTAACATAACCATCAACTACATATTGTTGTAATAATCGACCAAAATGCAACAGAAATGATTCATCTATGTCTCTGATTTGAAGTTTATAAGCATAATATTCTTTGAGCGAAACAAAATATGGATCATCTTCTAGTGTACCCATTACTACAATATAAAGTAATAAACTATTTAGAATAGCTATTTATGTAAGTTATAATGTGGTACAGTATTTATTATTTTCGATTGCGCTTACCAGCTTCTTCATTGTGAAGTAACTGATCAACAGTAAAAGCATTTGCTGGAGAGACTAGATCTGATGCTTTCCTGTTTGTCTTAGCTTTCTTTTTCTTTGTTTTTATTCCTTTCTTTGGAATGCCTTGGTGCCATCCAAGTTCTCCAAAGGGAAACATTAATGGGTATTGTAATGGATCATAACATGCATAGTAATACTCAATATTTCGTGGCTGTCCACCATGAGTATATACTTGAATGTTACGTCAGCTATTTTCACCGTTTTCTTGGCCTTCTACCCATAATGCAGTTACCTGCGATTCAGTTGGCTTATTGTCGACTCTCTGGTCAACACCAGGCAGAGTACGCAGAATTATCTTATAGCTAGATAAATTAGGGGCATTGCTTAAGCTCTTAAAAAATTTTGCATATGGATTGTTCTCAAGAACAGCCATAATTTTTTTTATTACATCTTTTGATAGTCTTGGACAGGCAGCTTTACAGTTAGATAGTTCAACGTCATGAAAGAACAATTGCATATTACTGCCTGGGTTGCTAGCAAGGGTCAAACTGTTCAAAAAATGATATACTTGTCCCTGTACTTTAAATGTATACACTCCTTTGTTTCGTCTTGAAAGATTCTTATCACATTTAATACCAAAAGATGTGAATCCAAAGTGATTATTGTAAGTTCTAATCAATTGCCTAAATGTTTCTGCTTCCTCAGAAGATGAAGTTAAAAGTTCTCTCAAAACAACTGGAAGCTTATTCTGCATGAGGACTACATCACCGTTAGCACAGCAAAAGTTTGCCGTTTCTGAGTAGAACTTTTTAGCTCCACAATGCGGACAGTCTTTTTGTTTTGGCAGAATATCAGGAGTGTCAACTATATAGTCTAACAACACTCTTCCTTTCTTAGGAGTGCTTCCTAAAGTAAAAAACTATATATATAATATCTGACAACATTAGAAACTTTTATGGTAATATTCTTTTTCAATGAAGATAAAGTAGCAAATATTGACTATAACCTGAACGTTTTCTTTTCTTTGGCACATGGTTTTGCCGTTCATATGTCGTTTGCATTCCTTGATCTTGCAGTGAATGGTTCACACATCAGATCATAACTTTAGTAAATAAAATACTAAGTAAATGATACATTAAAAGTTCAATGAACCATAAAAGGAATTACCTTTGTTATGGTTCATAGGTATAGCAATGTTTTCAGAATTTCTTGATGCCTGAATTATACTGGTGTATGTAGGTATACTTCCAGTACAAACTGGCTCAGCAGGCTGGACACTGTCATTGTGAGACTTTTTTGATTTCCATCTAGTATATGCCTGCTGCCTATTTTTAGGAAGCTTAATATTGTCATTGTTTTCAGCTTGAGAGCCATTTTCCAGAAGTTTTCTATTAATATTCAACAGAGGAATATTGACTGGTTTAGTAGAAGATTGTTTCTTCATTTGAAAATGATATAAGCGTAATCTTTTTTATTTCCATCTAAGGTAAGCCTGTCTTCTGTAGTTTTTCTTCTCTGAATGGATACCTAAATGTGGCAAGCTTATAAAAGGAATGCCTTGAAAATCAGACATCATGGCATAGCCGTTTGTAGTAGGCTGTTTGCCATGCAGAGAAGGAACAATTGTGAGAGTTAGGTTAATTATGAAACAGACATTCAATAACATTAGCTATGGATTAAAGAGGTAAGCAAACATATTACAGATGAACAAGTAGCTGACAATAAGCAGTTTGAATATTCATCAGTAGCCTTTGACAATCACAGGCACACAGCATATATAAATCAACAATAAGCAGGTATCAATGCTGATGAAAAGTTGTAAATATGAAGCATCAAGAAAGGCTAACAAGCAATTTATCAAACATTAGGTAGGCTATTATAAGTAATAGAACTAACCGGCAAGTAAAGCGGGGATGCAAGCCAAAACGTTAAATCCTCAAAGCAATGCTGCAGTGTAAAAACGGAAAACATGTAAAAGAAACTGTATGTTACTAGGATAACACATAAATCCACAAATACAATGAAGGAAAAGCTAAGAAAAGTTGTATTACCAAACGATGAGAGAGCAGGAGAGCGAAGGAAGGCTTGTTTATGCAGTCTGTGAACGGAGGAAAAACAAAGGAGAACAAAAGCTATTAATGTACGTAGTAAGCATGGACTGCACTATTCAATCTGACCAAATCTAGTACTCTGTATTTGAATCTAATGGCCATGAAAAAATGAAGTACAGCTGATAACTATTCAGAAGATTGACATTTCAACCTAACTCTCACAAAAAAAAAGTTGTTGTCTAATCTAATTAGGTGAAAAAGGGTGTAGTTGAAGAATGGCTGTCCTTTTTTTGACATTGTTAGAAGAAAACAAGCGGAAAAACTGGACAAAAAAAAGAATATGTAAGTACATTTCTGGAGTGTTCTTAACTGGAATCGATAACTCTGTGACCTTCTTCAATCTACAATAGAAATAAGTTGGAATTATATTCAAGTATTGACTGGAACTATTGAATGTTTAACTGGAGTTGACAACTTTAAGAAACAAACGTTTAAATGAATTAAAATAGAATTGATAACAAATATATATAGCATATTAAGTCGTAATTTTAGTTCAATTGTATAACTTTAGATGAGAATAAAATAAATATAAATACAGCAAAATTGTAGATTTTATTGTGAGGTTCTAGATTTTGTGTATAATAGGAAGAAAAATGTACATTACACTAAAAAAATAATTGTATTCTTTATAATAGGATAGGATAATTTTAAATAGCCAAATATAATTTTAAATAATACGGTTAAAAAATGAAATTCAAATATTAAAAAATTGAATTAATTTGTCAAATATAAGTTAAAATGTCAAATATAATTTACAATAATGTTAAATAAAATGTGATATATAATTTTTAATAAATATAATTATAAACAATTTAAATGATAAGATTGAAAACTGGAATAGAAATAAATAAATTTCAAGTTAATCTATCTTGAAAGGTTAATCTACATAGAACATACTCATATGTTTTAACAAATAGAATTTTAAATAATTTAAATGATAAGGTTGGAAACTGGAATAGAAATAAATAAATTTCAATGATAAGGTTGGAAAGTGAAATAAAAATAATTAAATTTTAAGTTAGTCTATCTTCAAATGCTAATGTACATAAACTATAATTATATAAATTGTATAATTAAGTCTGTTCAAAATAATGCATCTAATTTAAGTCATTTAGAAATAATTAAATTTCAAGTTAATCTATCTTCAAATGTTAACCAATTTACTATCTTCAAATGTTAATATACATATAATATACTCATATGTTTTAACAAATATAACTTTATAAATAATTTAAATGATAAGGTTGGAAAGTGAAATAAAAATAATTAAATTTTAAGTTAATCTATCTTCAAATGTTAATTTTATAAATAATTTAAATGATAAGGTTGGAAAGTGAAATAAAAATAATTAAATTTTAAGTTAATCTATCTTCAAATGTTAATGTACATATAATATAATTATATAAATTGTATAATTAAGTCTACTAAAAATAATGCAACTAATTTAAGTCATTGAATACATCTAAAAAAATGTTAACTTCATATGGCAAAGTGAAGCTTATATACAAAGCAAAAGGAAAAAGGCCCAAAATTCATCTATTGTGCCATGTGTCAGCACAACAAGGTGCTACAGTAACTTTAGGCCTTTTCTTATCTTATAGTAAGAAATTAGGGTTTCTTTAATTTGAGTGAACCCTAATAAAGATAAACAAGACATTTAATCCCAACAAAAGTCCATATGTTTGGCCTACTAAATATATAGTTTTATAAAGTATTTATGGACTTCAAGAAAATTTTGGATTTAAATGATAAATTTAGGTCAAATTATGGATATGGACCTTTGGTCCAATAAGTCTTGATCTAATTTGACTAGTTTGACCATGTTTGACCACATTTTGACTAGAGTTGACTTTGATCAAAATTTTTTGTTTAATTTGTATAATTTTAAATTTAAATATTCTTATGATTATATATATTTTAGAATAAATTAATTGAAACTATATGCCACCAAAGTGACCTCTATTGTGAAAATTAATTTATTTTAGAATATAATTAATTGGGTACTTGTGATTTTATAAATATTGATCGGCCCAAAGGAAGGTCAATATTTAATAAGATTATATGTCTATTTATAGTAATAAATACGTGATAATTATTTGATTTTTCACATGTGAATTATAAATTGGTCCAAAGAAAATTTTATTTTTGACATATTATTATTGTCAGTGTTTATTATTGTGTCGAGATATCACTTAGAAGTTAATATTTTTGTCCAAAGACAAAATATTAATGGAACATCGGTATCTTGAGATAGGGTTACCTTTATTTAAATTTATTATTATTACGGTATATATGAGCTTGTTTTAATTATATTATGTTTTCTGTTTAGTTGCGAATGATTTTACAAATATTACTACCAACATCAACAATATTCATATGCTGAATGGCACAAACTTCAAGTCTTGAAAAGAAAATCTCTTGACAGTATTTGGAATAATGAATCTCGATCTTGCGTTAAGGGATGATTCTCTCCCACCTCTTATAGATCAAAGTACCTCTGATGAAAAGAAGGATAAGAAAAGGTAGGAGAGATCAAACCACTTGTGTCTGATGATCATTAAAAAGGCTGTTCCAAAGCATTCAAAGGAACAATGTTAAAAATGACAGTAACCGCTAAAGAGTTCATTTAGGACATTGAAAAAAGATTTGTCAAGAACGAAAAGACTGAAATTAGTACATTCTTGACACGCCTAGTTTCAATGAAATATAGTGATAAAAGTAATATCAGAAAGTACATCATAGAGATGTCTCATCTTGCATCAAAATTAAATGGACTTAAATTGGTACTCTTTGAAGAGTTACTAGTGCATTTGATTTTAATATCTCTTTCTACACAGTTTAGTCAGTTTAAGATGAGTTACAACTGTCAAAAGGAGACTTGATCTCTAAATGTACTCATCTCACACTATGTAGAAGAAGAGGAAAGGTTAAATCAAGATCAGACAGAGAGTGCTCATCTAGTCTTAATCGCTAATAATAAAGGCAAGGGACTTTACTACAAAAATATCCTTTTATGACATTTGAAAGCATCATTATAGCTCCATGTTATGATGTTTTAACTATAATGATGCTCTATTAGAAGCGTCATCCATTCTAACGTCATTATAAGTTTTATGACAGCTTCTATGCGTCCTAATTTGTAGTTCTTCTAGCATTTATAAATGTCATTGGTTATCGCTATTATGACACTTTGAAATGACAAGAAATGCCAGGGCACAGTTGATGTTATATAAACTTAAGTGATGCACATAACTGTCATATTTTGAAACTATCTTGACACTTCTGTCATGTAAGTACAATAAGATATTATAACACATCCACATAAGTAGAATGAAATATTATAGCACTTTTTGGTGTAACTAGATTAGGTTATTATGACACTTTTTAACATGAAATTTTGTGAATATTATGTACAATAAAAGTCGAAGTGATGACACTTTTAAGTGTTAGTACAGTATGTTGCATTACTCCTATATACCATCCATGTTTTATACCTATAAGCAGAAATCACATTTCATCCTGCCTGCATATTGTAAATCCTAATTTTTGGAATGATAAAGTAGTTAGTACCATCATATAAAGGAAAACCAAAGTTATTTACATCTTCGTAGTAACTAGTGCAATACAATGATCCAAACTGGTGCAAAAATATATCATCTAAGCAACTCACCTTAAAACTATGTCAACAAATTACATGCTAATTCAGAGATTTTCCACTAGTGAGGAGTATTGCAGTAGCATTGTCAATATATATAAAAGAAGCAGTAGCTTGATAGGAACTTGACTAAATAGCATTAACAATGTCTTCAAAAAATAGTCATTTGATCCAAGGATCATTTAGTTTTCTTTAAGATTCATCTACGTGTGTTATAAACCAAGCAATTGGAGTTACCAATCACACAGCGCTTCTTTTACAGTTTTAATCTTAGAAAACAAATAAAAACTAAGTTAGAGAAAAGATTACCAAGTTTATTGGCCAAGTAATGGCCACTCCAATTGTATCTCCAATCTTGCGAAAATTATGGTATGGCCTCATCAGCTCTTCATTACTCTCCACAAATGCATTCACATGGATTTCATGCCAATGCAATTGCAAAGGCGTTTCACCAAGATAAAACATAGTTTCTGTGAATGCATATTCATGACAAATATTTAGGTAGGCTCATGATTAAAAGAGAACCAAATGTTAGATTAGGTATGTCATTAAAGGTAACTTTTCTAGTAGTAAGCAATGTCAGATTGACCCTTAAGTCACAAAGATAACTATGCACATAAGCTAATAACTTAGAAGAGCAAACACAAGTCATGAGGATTTATGTAAAGTTTTATTAAAGAATTCAGTAATACAAATTTAGACATTTAGCGATGATAAACAATTCCAAAATTAGAGCTACAAGTATATGTTGAATACAAGTACATGGTTTTTGTGACGCCCCCACTTCTCCCTAAGACGAACCAAAGGGTATCTGCGGGACGCCTGCCTAACTCTCGCCAGGACTCAAGCAATTCCATTTCAACTTATAGCCGGACCACACAATACAAGCCAATAACTTAGATATAATAAATACGGAAGCGTTCAAGTTTAATAATCGTCATCCATTATTCAATCCACACGTCGGTATACAAAATACATTTCACCCCACAAGTTACATTTCCATACCCAAAAGTACAATCCAAAACCAAAGGCATAACCAAGAGTAATAGCAAACCCTAAACAAAAGTACATCAGGAGGGTTTCTCCATTTCACCTCCGAGTTCAAACCTGTTAAGGAAAACAAATCTACAGGGTGAGCAAAAACGCTCGTGAGGCCAAGAACACACATGCTGACACGTAGTCCAGATAACAACCAAATAATAATTCAAGTAATAGCTTGCAAGTAATTAATAATGCCAACAAAATGTAACCAGAAACAATTCAAGGATATGGAAGCTCTCAGGAGCTAAGTTCCACATTTTGCCGATATCATTCGTATATCTCCCCGTGTGACTCTCCGTCAACCGGGTTGATATTTTCATATCCGTAGTTCACCACTTACTTCTCATCCGTCCACCATACAACGCTTCGGGCCCGTACGACATTTATAAGGCGATACTTCACGAGTATGCCAAGCGAGATCTCTCAAATAGATCAAGCTTATCATGTAATTCTCATGACTCACCAAGGTTCCTGACCAGGCTCATGCCGGCTCAAGTTCCAAGGTCGGCCTATGAGTTTGGGCGTCCCCCATGTATCATGTAAATGTCGAGGAGATTCACTCCATCGACGTATGCAATCATAGCATATCATGTCATATAATCAAGCATTTGACAGGTTTAAACATGTATTTCAGGTCATATAAACCAGGCAAAGCATGTCAGGCG